TGGGCGAACTCAAGCTTTTTCTCCACTGCTCCGTCTCAACCAAGGGAATTTTGAATGGACTGCGCAACATCAGGAGGCATTCGAGGAAATCAAAGCTTATTTGATGCATCCTCCTATACTTGCACCCCCTTCGAAAGATAAACCAATGAGGTTGTATATCTCTGCCTCTAATGTAACTATAGGTAGTATGTTGGCCCAAGAAAATGATGATGGCGTCGAAAGAGCCATCTATTATCTTAGTAGGGTCTTGAATAAAACAGAGGCTAAATATAGTAGTATTGAAAAACTATGCCTTTGTTTGTATTTCTCTTGTACAAAACTTAAATATTATATTAAACCCGTTGATGTTTATGTTTCATCTCACTTTGATGTTATTAAACATATGCTTTCGAAACCAATCATGCACAGCAGGATTGGCAAATGGGCCTTAGCACTCACTGAGTACAATTTGACCTTCAAGCCTTTAAAAGCTATGAAAGGACAAGTAGTTTTAGATTTCATAGTGGATCACTTTGTGAGTGAGGACTTCGCGTTAGATTATGTTGAGGTCCAGCCTTGGAAATTATCCTTCGATGGGTCAACACATAAATATGGAAGTGGTGTTGGAGTCCTTATAATTTCTCCTGAGGGATTTCCAACGAAATTCAAGTACAAGTTAGAAGGCCCTCCTTGTTCGAACAACGAAGCTGAGTATGAAGCATTAATTGCTGGACTTGAAGCTTTGCTAGAATTAGGGGCAACCAGAGTCGAAATTAAGGGAGACTCAGAGCTGGTCATCAAACAGATAACCAAAGAATACAAGTGTATCAAGGAAAATTTGATCATGTATTTCGTTATTGCTAACAGATTACTCAAGAAATTTGAATATGTGGATATAAAACATATTCCCAGAATTGATAATCAGGAGGCAAATGACTTGGCTCAAATAGCTTCAGGATATAAGATATCTAGAGAAAAACTCCAATATCTCATAGAAACAAGAGGCAGAATATTGGCTACCAAATTATCACCATTGGACTTGGAAACTTCGAAACTAGGTTATGCAGATCAGAAAGAATTTGAAGTTCTGAATATTGATACTTTGGCAGATACAAATTGGAGAAGTCCCATAGTAAATTACCTGAAAGAACCTTCAGTAAGTACAGAGAAAAAGACCAAATATAGGGAATTGTCTTATGTCCTAATAGGAAATGAACTTTTCAAGAAAACCCCAGAAGGTATATTACTCAAGTGTTTAGGAGAAAATGAAGCATATTTAGCAGTATCCAGTGTGCACAGTGGGGCATGTAGGGCACATCAAGCAGGTCACAAAATGAAATGGTTGTTGTTTCGATATGGAATGTATTGGCCCACTATGCTCAAAGACTGCATAGAATTTGCTAAAGGTTGCGAACAATGCCAAGTTCATGCAGGTATTCAACATGCTCCTGCAAGTGAGTTACATTCAATTGTTAAGCCTTGGCCTTTTAGAGGATGGGCATTAGATCTAATTGGTGAAATTCGACCAGCATCATCCAAAGGACAGAAATATATCCTTGTGGGTATAGATTATTTTACAAAATGGGTCGAAGCAATTCCTCTAGTGAACGTTGATCAAGAGGTCATTATGGAATTTATCCAGAGGCAAATAATTTACAGATTCGGAATACCAGAAAGTATTACAATAGATCAAGGTTCAGTTTTCACAGGGCGAAAAATGCAAGAGTTTGCAAAAGAAATGAGATTTAAATTACTCACGTCAACTCCTTACTACGCTCAAGCTAATGGACAAGTAGAAGCAGCCAATAAAGTCATAATAGGTTTGGTAAAGAAACATGTAGGACGAAAGCCAAGAAATTAGCACAAAACTTTGGACCAAGCTTTGTGGGCATGTCGAACATCTCCTAAAGAAGCAACAAATACTACACCATTTCGACTTACCTTTGGACATGATGCAGTGTTGCCAGTCGAAATACACTTACAATCAGTAAGAATCCAAAGGCAAAATGAAATACCAACTGATCAATATTGGGAAATGATGATGAATGAATTAGTGGACGTGGATAAAGATAGGCTACATGCTTTAGAAGTTATGAGAAGACAGAAAGAAAGAGTAGCCAGAGCATACAACAAAAGAGTTAAAAGTAAGTTGTTCTCAACCAATGACTTAGTATGGAAGGTTATATTACCTATGGATAAAAAGAATAGGTTATTGGGTAAATGGTCACCCCATTGGGAGGGTCCCTTTCGAGTATTGAAAACATTTTCGAATAATGCTTATGAAATAGAAGAATTAGCAGAAGATAGAAGAATCTTGAGGGTAAATGGGAAATACTTAAAAAGGTATAAACCATGCTTGCAAGAGGTTAGAATCACTGCAGGATAATGCATGAGTTTTTGATACTCTCGAAATAGCCTGGATGAGTCAAAAAACAAGTATTTCTTTATATCTGTCGAAATACATGTTCTTTGGGGACAATTTGTTAGCTGGCTATTTCGAATAAGGAAGAAACCACTATCAAAATAATATTTCGAATGAAGCACCTAAGAATATTTAATATTAATATTGGATACTGGTAGGAGACATGGAGTCTTTATGCTAAAGGATTATTCAAGTTCCAACACATTTCGATTTGGACTTTTTTGGTGTTCGAATTACAAAAGAGCTCCTTTATGTAAAGGTGCCAGGGGTTGGAAACGGTCCAAGTAATTGGGATTATTTCGAAAGTAACGAAGAAGCAAGATGCTTCGATTGGTACAGATTTCGAATTTCAAATAAAGATCGCCATCCTAGAAGACGCGTGGAAGTCAGCAAGCATAGGAAGCCTGCATGCTTCGAACGTGGTGTGATTTTAGAGTAGGGCCGTTAGGGTCGAAACACTATAAATAGGTGTTCTTATGTTAGATTTATGGATGTTCACTTTTATGTACTAAAATATCTCAAAATACTCATTACTTCCGTGAATTAAGGAAAACGAGTCAAAAGATACAATGTACGTGTTGAACATCACTACTTTTTTACAATTTCAATACAAGTCTTGTTATATTTAATTCAACTTTACAACATTTCCATGTCCTTTAAATCATTCGATTACAACATTTCTATCCTTAAATACTTCGATTTCCTTGCATTTCCTTTGTTTTACTTTCTAATTCGAAGCCTTTAAACACAGTCATTTCGTTAGAAACTTTACAGTATTTCGTTGTCTTTAAATCCTTCGATCACCTTTACAGTATTTCCTTGCTCTTTACATCCTTACATTTCCTTGCATTACAGTATTCCCTTGTCCTTTAAACACTTCGATTTCCTTGCATTACATGTATTTCGTTGTCTTTAAACACTTCGATTTCCTTGCATTTCCTTTGTTTTACTTGCCTTTAAACACAGTCATTTCGTTAGACAATATTTTTACCCTTAAATCCTTCGATTTACTTTTACGTTATCCTTTTAGTCAAACACTTATCTTCACATCCAAGCCATTTTAGAATTACCTTTACATTCAAGCCCAAGTTTAATTCGAAGTCTTTCCTGCCTACATTCATTTAGTTTATTCCTATAGACCATTTTAGAAATCTTTCCTAAGAATCTCGTCTTCAAACTTAACATACAATATAAGTCTATCAATATAATAGATATGAACATAAAACTAAGTTATGACACATGTGTTCTAGGATCAATCTAGTCGATCTTGCAAATAATCAATAATAAATTAGTAAATTGGAAGACTAGCGGTTATTTACTAGAAATCACTGTAAACATTATCTTTATTGTCGACTTGTACAAATCAAATTGAATCGACCCAAAATAATTCAATGAGCAAGTTCATTATTTTATATGAATTTCAGCACAATAATCGAGTATATGCATCTGGGTTTTGTTTCTTTCTGTCTAAAAGCCAAATTGTAAATTGAGGAAGAAGAAAGAGAGTTAGGAGATGAAGAACTGAAACCAAAGGATTCATCTTATATAATTTAAAACTAAAACCAATCTGACTCAAAAGCTCCTCCGCAACTAACATGTCTGCCACACAATCCAACACTCTTTGATACACCATTGTTGCAAGCCACCTAAATCTCCGGCAGCCGAGCCTAATGTGAACCATGCCCAAAAAGAAGAAAAAAAAATCAGAAAACTCCATCAATAAAATATTAAAAACTATTGGATTCAAAACATTCAAATCTATAAAAATCAGAAAACTCCATCAAAAAATGTAGGAAACTATTGGATTCAAAACAGTAAAAACAACTTATTGAAGAACTTCATGTGCAGATTTATAATGCATAATTAACAGAAATACACGCAAAAATACCGTTTTTTCCAGCTCTTGATTCTTCATATCTGTTGGCTTCCCATAAAAAACATATCTGAATAAAAACATTGAACAAATCAGCAACAATATACAGTGCAATTTCTAAAATAACTTATTCTGCGAAAACATTCCTTATAAATCACTATAAATATCGAAATCAATTAATTAACACAACAATCACCCTAACAAAAAAAAAAAAGAAACAAAAATAACTAAACTTAATTAAACTTATCCGATAGAAAATCCACTAAAAATCAATTAACTAACTCAATAATCACCCTAACAAAAAAAATGAAACAAAAACAACTAAACTTTATAATTTATTATTTTTTTTCTTCTTTTTTTATCTTTATTATTTTAATAAAAATCCACTTTTATATTCTATAATTTATTTTAATTTAAAATAAAATAATTATATATTAAAATTTTTTTTCAGTTTACAATTATAAGTGACGAGGATAAGATAAATTGGTGTAAAAAAATATAACTCTATTCTAGAGGTAAAAACAGTGTTTTTGTTTGTTTTTGTTTTCAAAAGTAAGAAATTTGGTTTTGTATAAAAAGAAATAAAGCCCAAGAGAATAGCCCAATAGCCAAAAACCCTAGATATATATTTTCCAACAAATGTTTTCATTTCCTCACTCAGTTACGGCTTCTTCTTCATCATCATTTTTGGCCGTCTGAAACCCTACCTCCAAAAGCCTCTCCAAAATGCCTCCCAAGCTCGACCCATCCCAAGTCGTTGAAGTTTACGTCCGCGTCACCGGAGGTGAAGTCGGAGCGGCGAGTTCCCTCGCTCCCAAGATCGGTCCCCTCGGTCTCTCTCCAAAGAAAATCGGAGAAGACATCGCAAAGGAAACCGCTAAGGACTGGAAGGGTCTTAGGGTTACCGTCAAGCTGACTGTTCAGAATCGTCAGGCGAAGGTTGCTGTTGTTCCGTCTGCGGCGGCGCTGGTTATCAAGGCGTTGAAGGAGCCGGAGCGGGACAGGAAGAAGACGAAGAATATTAAGCATAATGGGAATATTTCGCTGGATGATGTTATTGAGATCGCCAAGATTATGAAGCCGAGGTCGATGGCGAAGGAGCTGGCGGGGACTGTGAAGGAGATTCTGGGGACCTGTGTTTCGGTTGGATGTACTGTTGATGGGAAGGATCCCAAGGATTTGCAGCAGGAGATCAATGATGGCGATGTTGAAATTCCCCAGGATTGATTTTTTTAAATCTGTTATCTTTTGATTTGTGCTTTTTTTAATATGAATTTGAACTTTTGTTGTTATTTAATGTTTTGGATAATTTGGATCATTGAGATATTTTACATCTTAGTTAAATTATTTTGATATGGTTTTGTGGTTATGCTCATGTTACATTGTTAGCTTTGATTTGACTATATTTGTGGTTTTTGATTTGATTAGAAATTGATATTTGTGGTTTTTGATTTGATTAGAAATTGATTTCTTTTAATCAGTTGGTTGAATGTAGCTGATTCTGTTATCCTATTCTTCTGCTTAAAGCTTCTCTAGCCCATCCTCACATTATTCTGGTTAGTAAAATTATGTTGAAAATGTGTTGGTTGTAATTGTTTGATACTTATTAGATGAGTATAAGTTTACCAACCTTATGAATGATTAAGTACATGATTGATAAAAGTTTGTGAAAATGGTCAATTATCTATCTCTTTGCCTTAGTTATATGTAAGAACATATTTTGTACATTATCTACGTTTGTTCAGACCGTGTATGCTTGTTTGTTCAGACCGTGTATATACTGGGTTGTAGTTTGTTGCTAGTAATTGGGTGAGGACTTATTTAGTAATGATATTGTTGGTGATATTGTTGGCCTTGATCTGTCTTAAAAAGCTGTTTTTTAGTCTGCCTCATCAAACTTTTGCCTAATGAAAACCCTTGCTTAAAATAAACACTCAAAAAACGTATAGAGAAACATCAGTAGCAGTTGTTCATGATTTTCCATCGTTATTGCACCCACCTAGAATTTACTTGAGAAAGGTTTTTTTTCTTCCTGCATTTCTTGTCTAAGTCTTATGGGGCTCTTTTGCATTTCCTGTCTGCAAAATTCTAGTATCGCTGCTTCTTAGTAGTTGAGTAAGATTCTTAAGTAGTTGAGTAAGAGGCGAAATTGTGTTGGCTAGAAAGATTATATATCCAGTATCCACCCCTTTTCCTTTGTCATCTCTGTAGTTGAGTTCTTGTTAAAAGTATCAGTCACAGCATTATAATGACCCACAATGTTTTAGATAAATTGAAAACAATTTAGCATGTGTTTGACAAAAGCTAGGATTTCTAGCGTTAGAAAACCGCGGTGTATGTGCATTGGGACACGAAAACTGAAGGCCATAAGGGGATCCAAACACATGCTTAGCCTTATCATTTAGGATGAGAATAGGTTTGGAAGTTGGTATGTCTAGCATGCTTTAATTGTAATTTTATTTAGGTTTTAGTACGGCTTTTTAAAAACTTAATTATTCTAGTAGTTATTTTCGTACGCTTTCAGCTTTTCCCTTTCAATTTATGCTTCATTAGGTTGAATTAAATTGATAAGTTACAGTATCAACGACTGTATGATGATACAAAAGACTATACAAATTTGTTTCTTTTATTTGTTATTCAGAAATACGTATTTCTGTTTTTTTATTTTATTTATTTCAAAATTAGAATTTTTTTTGAAATATTGAAAAAAACACACACATCAATAACCACTTTTTTGAAAAACTATTCAAATAAAATTTCTCAAAATTAAGTTTTGAAAGTGAATTTTTTTAGCAATAACCATGTTTTGAGGAGTAATCGTCTCAAATAGTGCATACATTAATTTTCAAAGGAGAGGTCAAATGAGATGACACTTAGGTGTATGTGATTTGTCCTAAGTCATCTCAGATGGTGCTTAGATGCAAAGTCTTTTTTTTTTCTTCTTTTTTTTTGTTGAAGAAATAAAAGATAATGTTGCAAATGAAAGTTGATTTTCAATAATAATTAAATGATTACATAATGAGAATACAAAATACATATTATTTAGTTGTTTCCAGGGACTCGATAACGATCTACGGTTTTGCACTTGCGCCCTCGCATAACTTGTGGTGTGTTTTGACAATTTTCCTGTTCCGGTTGGGTCGAGGGCCTTGCGAAGTCAATGCGTTCAGGATCCATGAAATCCGTCAGGTCAACATATCCGGAAGATTCGCTTTGAAATAATTTGTTACCCATGTCCTCAAAGTTTGGTCGTATTGGTGGGAAGTGGGGTTCTATGGGGGATCGATAGCACTGGTCGTCTGAATAAGGGGGTAAAAAGAAAATGAATCTTGTGAGGTTTGATATGGTGATCGTTGGGTGCTATGGTGATAGGAAGGCTGATGGTAAGTTGGGTTGGTTGGTGAATATTCTTCAGGTATGCCAACGTCTGGGCTAAGGTGAGATGACGAGGGCTCCACATGGAAATGTCAAATGTATGGTCATTGTTCTTGATATTATGATTGTGTGTGGGACATGTGTGTGTATTGGTATTGGTCTTTGGTTTGAGGTTGGATGTTGGTGAATCTGTATCGTCGCTGTGTTTGGTGGGAGATTGATGTTGTTGGGTTTGTTGTTAGGGTTCTTGTTGGATGGTGTATGATTGTGTCCATTGTGTGTGTGGATAAATCAAATACATCGGGTCAGACACATGCATTTCAGGCTAGTAACTGATCTATATCAATCAATATACTGATTTGTGTGTCATATATTATTCTGGTTGAGGAAAACAAAGAATTATAAGACATATCGGTGACGCCTCTTCCACATCTTACATCATTTCGGAGCGAAAGCTTCCCAATTATTAACATTCCATTGGATGCCGACCCTTTTGAGATACTAAAGTGACAAACAAGTTGGATTACATGATATTTCTTAATGCATTTCGAACTCCACCTTGACACGATTGTTGTGGTACATCTCCACAATGTTGAATCGTATGATTGCAGTCTTTGCAGTCTAAATTGCTGCATCCTCGAGGTTGAGTTCATGGTCCAAACCCAAATATAGTCTCCAGATAAATCGTGGATAAACATTATTCAAAATAATGATAACTTTAAAAATAAATAAATTAAAAGTAGAAAAGTTTTATGGTACTACGTACATCATCCGAGCCAAGGTGATCCAAAAGATTACGATATAGAGCGACATTGAATCTTGGATTCTTGCTGTAATTCATACCCCTCATACAATACCTATAGGATTGAAAAAAATAATCAATTTTATACATCAATTTGGCAAAGAGATGAATAATAAATTATTTACGCTATTGACTTACTTTGTTGTGTAGGAAAAAATGAATGGATGGTCGTTGACGAGGTTAAGGGACTCCATTCTCCACCAACCCTATGCTTGGAGTAAGAAAGAGCATACATAAAAGTACATTTGTTGTTTGTTGCATTTTTACATAATGAATTGTATATATGAGTTAAAACAGCAGAACCCTAACTATACTTTCTTGTTTTATTAAAGTTCCTAAGCAAACTTAAATACATAAAATTTACACTATTTCCTATACTTTCATGGAATAATAGGCTTCCAAATAGTATCATAATATAATTTCCAGCTTTAATTATTTTTTCTTGCTCATTCGAATCTTTATTCAACCCAAGAGTCCCATAACGTGATTTAAGTACGGTTAGTAATATAATTTGGCCCCTAGAAATAGTTGCATCCATCATATCTTTGTCCAACAATTCCTCCCATTGAGAATTATGTTGTTGAACCGACTCATTCACCGCCTTACTATTGATATGGAGATCCAATAACATATACACGTCCTATAGTGTGACAATACATTCACCAATTGATAGATGAAAGGTGTGTGTCTCGGGTCTCCACCTTTCTAATATTGCAAGTATAAATTTGATATCAATCGTGCAGTTTGAGATTTTTATAACATTTCCAAAACCGACATATTTTAGATATGAAACGATCAACAGATCGGGAACAACGTAGTTGTGTGAGCGACATCTAAATCTTTTAGTATCCTAAATTCAAAATGTAAACAGTGTAAGAGTTTATAAACAATGTAAAAGTTTATAAAATGACTAAATTAATTGTTTTATAAAATGTATATATAATATAAAAATATATATAAAATGATAAAAGCTTACAAACGCGACAATGTTTTCTCTTGTTCTTCTGTGAGAATTGCCCATTATGAGAAGAACCATATTTGAATTTGTATAAGACAGTGTAAGAGTTTGTATTAGAGAGTGAGGATTGGTGATGCAAAACAATTGCCTGAGGCGCCATATTTATAGACGAATTTGTATAGAGGTGAGTTAATGAGGTGGTTGTGGGTTGTTTGCATGCAGAACACGTGTCACTTAGACGCCAAGTGGGATTGCGACTACATGCAACATAGAGTGTGTTATACCCCAAAATTTTCCCTCCCATTTTTCATAGAAGACACAACCTTAGGGTTTCTCAAATATTCAAGTTGGCTCAGGAATCGATCAGACAGATTTTCTCCTGTGGCAGTAAACCAGCAATTAGGGTTTTTCTTGCAATTCTCAAAAGAAATGAATTCTCAAAGATCCAATTGGCTTTCACATGTTTTCATGATTTTTCAAGTTTACTGAAAGGTTAATGTTTGTTCTCAAGGCATGTTTGTTTGGGACAAGAGATGGAATCTAAGACTGTCATTTGGGACATTCTTGTTTTGTTTGATCCAGGTTAACCAGATAATTTGCGTCTTTTAAAACATTTGCTTGTTTAGGAAATGGGATAGACAGTGCGTGTTTTGTTTGGAATGCAGTTGCAAGATTAGAGTTATTGGAATTTAAGTTATCTTGATTGGAATTATTGGAGCATTTTGTTTCAATTATCTTGATTGGGCATTCAAAAATCCAATAGGATGCAAAGAGAAAATTACAAGTTATTGTTGATCAAAGATTTCAATGGACACCAGAATATCTCATAAGACTTTCTCTATTTATTTCAAAAGTTGTTACAAAACAATTTATTATTTAAATACTTTAGGTTTTACAACTTATGGCATTTAAAAAAATAAATTAGTACAATTGATAGAATGTTTGTCTCTAAATTACAAAGGAAAGAAAATGAATCTATACCTAAGGTTGACTGAGCTTCCTTTGCTTCCATGCTTGCCACATAGTCTCTTGCTTCCCCTGCTTTTCCACCATCCAGTTGTGTTCACATGAAAACAAAAGGCAGAAAAATAG